GTTTTTATTGTTTTCTTTTAGCCAATGTTGGTGCTTTGAAATAAAAAGTTCACTATAAAATGTTGAGTACCATACTGATTATATTGGACTCGAACACAGCTGCAAGTCCTATACACTGTGTATTTGACTCATCCAATACAGGTTTGACAGCTCCGGTAGAATTCAATATTGTAAACAACAATTTATAATAACCTTAAAATATCACAAAAGTAAATAGATTTAGAACACCGCTTTTATACATATATATTTTACCATGCATTAAATTATACTCACAGAAATATTTTGATGATCCATTGTTCAAACTATCTATCTTACCATATTATAGTAAGCATCAAAATACCCCAAGCACCTTATGTATCTTAAGAAGTACTTTTATGACACCGCCCTTATATACTATGTCTAATAAAGACCCCCAAAATCCCATATTTATAACAAAGAGAGAAAAATATCTAAACATATCGATTACATATTCATATTAGATCATATTTAAATGCGTTATCAAATGTATTGCGCAGATAAGGGCGTGTAATAATATTTTGAAACTTTATTTTGAAACTTTATTTATTGATTACTACTTACCATCTATTGTTTCCGTACACTACGACGCTATATTTGGACGATTACACAACAGGAAAACCCATATTGGACGCGTTGATTTAGTAAATGATTAGTGTAGAATGATAATACATGTATAACATATTACATTTAAAATTAAATCTAGCATAACAACATATAGAATTTTTTCTTAGATCAACTGGGACACATGCAACGTAAAAAAAAAACAAAAAAAAACAAAAAAAAAAAAAAAAAAAAATAAAAAAATAAAAATAAATAAATAAATAAATAAATAAATAAATAAATAAATAAATAAATAAAATGTAAGCAATAATTAAATTGAAATCGTATCGCATCGATAGCTCGCAAAAACCGGTATTTCTGAAAGGCATCAGGGTAGTATTCAATTCACGTGGTTTCAGTCACGCGATTCATTACTTTCAAAATGGCGACACAGACACTGGTTAAAATTGTGGTAATTAATCTTTGATGTAGAGTGCGGCCAGAGTAAGATCAATAAATTGACATTTGTCAAATCAAGAACTTTCTGAAAGATAATGACATTATTTTTATTGTTTCGTTCAGGCATGTTGTAAGTGACTTACTAAAGGTTAGTTAAACAAAGTGACATATCTATGAGAGAAGAAATGTTTATAATTCAGAGCAATGGACAATACTGTTGAAATGGCTATCTGACTTCTGTACGTTTATACATATTTTCTTCATGTGTATTTTATTTTTCACTACATCAACTTGTTTGTATAAATAATAATTTCATGTGTGCGAAAGTTAATGCATAAGATATATACGATTATACAGAATTGTGAGAAATGGCTTTGAAATTTGGTTGGAACCTGTCGGGTTTAGGCCGGAGTTTTCTTATATGCCAATTATGCTAATTATATGTTAACTCTTAAGACGTTCTCACAAAATGATCAATATAAATTGAGAGAACAATGCAATTTGCACAAAAAACCATTCATTATTTTTACGGAAATTTCAAATCTTAAATATTTTGTGACTTAACAGCGAACAGTGCAGATTCTGACCAGAAAGCACAGAATCAGTTGTCGTTGGGTACGGTAAGGGTTATTATTATTAATAAGTAGATTTTCATAACTCTTCTAAAATTATATCATCGTTATCTAACGAAGTCAGTTAATAAAAATAGAAACATACATGTAATAAGATTATATTTAGAAACTTACATCATCAGTATCAGTGTGATAATGTAAAACAATAAGGTCAAACACACCAATGAATCTCATCTTAAAATAAATATGAGAATGGTGTGTATATACCTGATTAATAAGTACATTACAAAAGTTACCTTTGTTAAGATACCACCTGTCAACAAATTACTTTACAACCAATTAGGAGGACGTTAAGCCAAGAACTGGCCAAACATCTATCTATGAATATAATAACAACCTATTTTACTGTGGTCTGGTTTAGTTTGGATTGGTTGGTTGTTTTTGGTTGATTGGTTGGTACGTTGTTTTTTACGACAATTTTAAACACACTTTGGTCGTTATCCACCTAACCGGATTCCCAAGATAACTAACAAGTAATTACTATTTACTCTGCAAGTCATGGTCTCGGTTTAAACGAAAATATAAAAAACAAGGTGAAAAAGTCCTAACAAAATATTTCATTACTAGTTTTAGTAGTTTTAGTGATGATTTTTCGCATGCATTAGGAATTTATGAACATCATTTTCTTCAACTTACTAATTGGTACTTTTTGATATATTTTGATATATTTTTATCAAGCTACTAATAATGTTTTTACCCTTTATCAAGGGATATTATATGCACAATGTATATATAATTATTATATGTGTAATATCATATACAATGCACAATTTACAAATACAGATAGACATGTAGGTGAACTCAGTCTATTTATATATATGTGACATTTTTTTAGACATGTATATTATAGGTATGGTCATTTAAGAAACAAATACGTATAACCATGTGACTGAATATTTAAATACGTATGATTTCATGTCAACAATAAAAGAAGATAAACCTGTATATTATAAATATTAGAAATAAGTTTATCACCTAAACATACAGTCGTTGACCTTCAGAACAATCGATTATCGTAAGTGGATAAATATGTTTGATATTGTGAAGAATAAATCAAATAAAATGTCCATTAATCACCTTGCAATTTTTACTGTTATAGTCGGTTGGTTGTTTCTATTTTTTAAAGGCACATTTTGCTCCAGAACTGCTTTTACTTTTATTTCTAAAAAAAGTTTTTTCTTTATTTCGTATGTCCTGCTTTAGCTTCCAAATTTTTTTTTTAAAAAGTAAATGATCATATATCTGACAATCTTTTACGTTTGTTGCTATCTGGCGATTAGCACCGTTATAGTGATTAAGTATTTTATATGGAAGTCAAAATACTGTTTTGTTACATTTTGTTACTTTTTTACGCAAGCAATTTCACATTCAGCACTGCTTTCCTAAGGTGATGCTATAAGTTATTGTTTAAAATGTTATAAAACTTATGTTTGTCCTTTTCCAACAAAAAATTATTTCTAATTTCTAAGGGATAATGTGCCTTTTATACGTTTATACTGTACGTTTTATTTTTTCGCGTGGTATGAATATACACGAATTTAAATCGTTTGATTATTTTGTTGTATGTATCGTTCATTTACATTAATATATGAGTACTATTTGCATGTAATTAAAGAAGTTAAACATTCGATTGATGCATTAAAGTTTGCTTACAGTTATTTGATACTTCTATCATGAAAAATGGGCGATAATGGCCGCCACATAACACTGAATTGTAGTGTCGTAAATTTTCCAGTAACACACCTTATTCTTAAATTTTCACAGATTGATTATATTTTATTATGTGAAATTTAATAAGTTCTAAATCAGCACAGGTTTTTTGTAGTAAATATGTCGATTATCATACTATAACCAAAGTACCTTTAACTAGAAAAGTGGTATATTTAAGGTAGAACGCGACACTTTGCGAACTTTCGAATAGCGTTTTGAAAACTGGCATGCAGAAAGTTGACCATATTTCTGATTTGATTTCGTTGATTTTATTCCAATAGTTTCAACCAATTTTTGTACACATGACGTCAAAGTTGACCATCAAAGCCCGTTTTTGAACAAGACGTCGTTGCGTATCCTTGGCAACTATTACGGGTATCACATCGCCATTGGCGGACAAAATACCTTAAATCCTACAGCATCTGACGGAAATTATTTTTTCCTTTAAGTTGATATAAAACGCCGAAAAATGTTTGAAAAATGGAAAGAAAACTATCAATTTTGTGTAAAATTTGACGTTCAGTTTAGCCGCAATTTTCGGCTTTAAAGCGGCTTATTTAAAAATTCCTGAAATATTTTTTTGATTTTTTTTCTTTAAACGTTTTTTAAAATGTATACTTAATCAAAATGACTAAAAAAATAGGGGGTCACGGACTCAATTTTTTCGGTACACGTTATTTTATTTCCCTCACCCCTTAACCCATTACGCGATATACATGCCTTTTAACGCCTTTTTCACAAACCCCTCTTTTTTTTGTCTCAAATGGTGAAAAAATGCCTTATTTAGGCCCCCAACACTTGTCTTGGTTTGAGAAATGTTGTTTAAAAAAGTGACCACTTTTTCGGCGCGGCCCCCAACCAAAAGATACTTCAGGGGGTTGCCAGAAGGGGGATGTGCCCCATTCTGTTTGGGGGGGGGGGTTTGAAGGGGGCGGTAGTCCCCCTCATCGCCAAGAAAATTTTGGACTTGTGAGAGGCTGAAAATGACCCCAGATAGATCATAAGGTAACGTGTAACCAACGCTAAAAAGCATTTGACTCTATCTCAATCGATTGAGAAGTTGCAGCACTTTGAAATCAATTTTGATGGAAAAAATCAACGTAAAATAGTGATTTTTGGCAATTTTGAGATGTGTCCTCGTTGCCATGGTAACAGGAAATTTAAGCCTGTGCATGTTGTTGCAAAGGCAATGGTCAACATTCGTGCCAAGTTTGATTAGTATTGAAGCAGTTTTTATAGTTTTATAGCAATTTGAACTTGTAACGGGAGACTTTTCAATGAAAACAGCCATTTTTCACAAAATGCTCATGAAGTAATGGGTTAAGTAATTTTGTAACGAAATTCGACTTATGCACTACAACTTGCGGCAATAATGTCAGGAGAATTGTTCTAGAGTTTTACATATAACTTTATATTTACTGGAATAGATCATTAGACCGTTCTCTAATGATTTATGATTCTATTTATACTTTCTTTCACGAGATGTGATACTACACCATACTAGAACTGTGTCGCATAAATTGGACAAGAAAGGGGGCGGTATTATGGGAATTGAGTTAATGTGAATATATCACAAATGATATACTTAATCATATAACAAAATTTAAATTATTCACTTTAATTTCGGCAAGTTACCTTTAGAATATGTTGTCGGATGGAATACAGAAGTTATTATTAAAAACCAATGCTATCAAAAAATCACCAATAACAAAATCATTCTTTTACAACGACTGTCCAGCACATTTTTATTGATTGTTTTCCTTCAGATAAACAATCCTAAAGGAGAAAGTCAAATATGGTGGACATTACATTTGTTTCTTTCCAGAAATATCATTTGTACTGATTGACAGGTACTCTTTAACAAAAAATATTGACCACTTGTTCTCATAATTTTTTTCATCCATGCCTTTTGTGGCAATCAATAATTAAACTGGATTGGAAATTCATTTATTTAGTTAATTCAGTTTTTAAAATATGTCACTTCTTTCTCCGCCTTTACTTGGCTTACTTATGCCGCTTTCGTCTTCAAAATTATTCTCCCAATTTCTAAAACCAGCACTTCTCGGTAATTCACCGATACGGTCCGTATCTTCAACTGGACCGTCGTCGGTAAAGTCTTTTTCTTGACCCTTACTTGACATTTTGCGGTCTTCATTCGTTTTTGGAACACCATCTTCCCCCTGTGTATTTGGAACATTTTCAGAGTCGTCACGACCGTCTCTCGTATCTGTTCTCATTTTCATCGCCTCTTGCAGTGACATTTTAAAAGGATCAACATAACCAGTGTGTTTCATTAAGTTTTTCGAGCTGCTTTTAATTTCTGACAAGAATGCTTTCAGAGTTTCACAAGCGATGTTTTGTTTTTCTTTAGAAATTCCATATGTATGGAGAAGATCCTGTCTGGGCAGGTAGAATGACGGCAAGAAACCTTGTTCAAGATAGTCTATCAGTGTTTGAATAACCTGAAATATCCAAACTTTCTTGTCACGAATCTTATCTATGTAACGTTGAGAGACGTTAAACAGGGTGTTCACTAGGATTTCGTTATTGAGAGACCCCAGTTTTTTCGGATGCTCTTCACGGAGTATACTCATTAGAATCAAAACATGGCGAAATTTCAGACCTCGACAGTACTTGTCGATCAAACTGTACACGTGGTATTCGGTTAAACTGATATTGATTTTCCAAGTTGGACCATCTTTTGGTAAACACTTCTTCACAAGACTATGCCCGACGTCTGACTGAAATAAAAATAAAAACAAACAGGTAGACAGGAAATATGTTAGTTAATTTAAATTTTGTTTACATGATCCTGCCAAATAAAAAGGAAATACGGAAACACCTTCCATAGAGACCGCTTCTGAATATATCAAAAACAACATATATTAAAGAAACAACAATTCCCTTTTTTGATCAATGAATATTTTAAAAGTAATTTTTGTTAAAAGACTGTGGCACAGTAATATTTCACAACGACACTAAATGTTGCGCTTGCGGCTGAATGTTGCGCTTGCGGCTAAATTTTGCGCATCTGGCTAAATGTTGCGCTATTGATTTTTAGCGGCGGCTTTATAGTACAATTAACAAAAAAAAAAAAAATGCAACAAAAACCCAAAAAAAAACAAACAAAAAAAAAAACAACAACAAAACATCACTCACTTTTGGATCGAGGAAGGCGATCGGTTTACCATCTTCAAGATCTTTGAGTACAAGGTTTCTAAATTCTTTCTGTCCCTGTATGTAATCACCGTAGCACGGTAACGGAGCACTCAGTTTCACACTCGATGGTAATCTGTCTAGTGCGAATACTGGGTATATATTCACGCTGAAAAGATAGCACAACTAGTTTAAAGCGGCTTTCAGTTTTTTCTAAATGTTTAATACGTTATTTTCAGAGACATCGTTACATACAATTGTCAAGTCAAAAGAATTATGGTGGAATATGATTTTTACCGCCGATAAATTGCATAAACAATAAAGATACCACTAATCTACCAGTCCTCCCTGTATATGTAAATAAGTGTAGTGATTTACAGTGAGTGATATTCAGTGATTGATTTTCTATGAGTGATTTTTGAGACTTTGGATTATTTCATATATATATCTTACAAAAATTCGCTGGTTCTACTTGGGTGTTCGCTCGAGCCAGAAATAAAGCACTGAGGGGGTCACATGGGGTTTTGTTCGACCAGTAAAGTTAGAGTCGCCATTTTACCAACATTGAGGAAAACTACAATAACCAACAAAACTAACGTACTTAAAAACGTTGATCTGCAGTTCATCTCCATCAAAGTCCGACATAGTTGCATGTATGGTGGCTGTACCGTCATCACCTACGTAACATCCGAGCTTATCTACGTTATGATTCTCCGTTAACAGAACCTGGCAAGCTTTATGTAAACCTGGAACAATTTAAAAATGTATGATTTTTTAAGTGTTTTTATGACAAACCCGTGCCGCTTTGGCAGCTCTGAAAGAATAGATATATTGCACGGCCTTGGATGTATTTTGATGTGATGTCATCTGCGTTTTTTAAGCGTAAAGACGCGATAGCTGTTTGCGTTGAACTTTAACCTCGTCATTGCAAAGTGACTATCCCCTACGCAGTGATCTTCCCTTTTCAGTACAGAGATCTCTGCCATCACAAACATTGAAATATCAATATTTTGATATTTATATTTTTTAGCTTTTTAATTTATTTTTCATTATTTTGTATACTTTTGATATTTTTTTATGAAATATAACGGACATAGGTACAAATAGTTAAAAATAAAATAGAAAAATGACGTTAGATTTTCTATGTAACTGTCGATATTTACATTTGAATTTCGACGTTACGTCATGTGACTTTCATCATCAAAGCAGCGATAACAATTCTGCCAAGAGAGGTAATCACTGTGAGGAGTTTGACAAAGTAAAGAAATAAAAGTATATTTCATTTGTGTAGGTTCAATACTAAATTTATTAAACTCGTTGAATAAATAAACGTCATGCACGTCAGAGGCTCGTATAATATAATTTTATTGAACTTGTTGAACTCACACTTATTTAACACCTTCTACCAAATATAAGCCGATTATGTTAAATCGTTACATAACATACTTTTTATAAAACCTGGAATAAATCAAAATAGTAAAAATAGCATAAATTTAAGACAAACAAATAAATGAATGAATGAATGAATGAATGAATGAATGAATGAATGAATGAATGAATAAATAAATAAATAAATAAATAAACTAAATAAATAATTAAATAAGTAGGTAGGTAGGTAGGTTGGTTGGTATGTTGATTGGTTGGTTGGTTCGTTCGTTAGTTCGTTAATCAATCAATTAATTAATTTATTAATTAATTAATTTATTCTTTTTTATATTTTAATGTTAATTATGCCATTTATTCATTTATTACTTATCTGAATTATGCCATTTATTCATTTATTACTTACATAAATTAATTTGTTTTTATTCATTTTTTTTCGTAACTATTGAATTACTTAAACATACCCCTGTTAAACCAGTTAAGTATTCCTGTAGGCCTAAGGAAGCCGTCGTTATCTATGAATGGTTCCCACTCTCTGTTTACAAGATGCTGTTCTTGTTTACACAAAGCTGGGTTCACTTGAATTAAGCAACGATGTAGGGGCATCTCATCAATGCCGCGCTGAAACACCTGTGAGAGAAATTTACATAATGGTAAAAATACCTGTGAGAGATATTTACATAACAGTAAAACACCTGTGAGAGAAATTAACATTACCGTAAAAATCACCTGTGAGAGAAATTTACATTATGGTTAAATCACCTGTGAGAGAAATTTACATTACGGTTGAAACACCTGTGAGAGAAATTTACATTACCGTAAAAAACACCTGTGAGAGAAATTTACATTACGGTAAAAACACCTGTGAGAGATATTAACATAACCGTAAAAACACCTGTGAGAGATATTTACATAACGGTAAAACACCTCTGAGAGAAATTCACATAACGGTAAAACACCTGTGCGAGAAATTTACAATACGGTAAATAACCTGAGAGAAATTTACAATACGGTAAAAACACCTGTGAGAGAAATTTACAATACGGTAAAATCACCTGTGAGAGAAATTTACAATACGGTAAAAACATCTGTGAGAGAAATTTACTTTACGTTAAAACACCTGTGAGTATAATTTACGTTCGGCTACAAATTAGGTTTGAAATATACATTTCAGTCGGGATTTCAAACAGTTCAAGTTAACTTTACAACAATGTTAATTTTTAAGTGAAATTTACATACAGTTGAACAGTGACATTTACACAACGGTTAAAAACCGTTCAGCGAAATTTATATAACTGTTAATAACTTTTTACGTGGAATTTACGTTACAGTTCCATACCTGTGAGTAAAATTTACATTACGAAGAGAAACTCTCATCACAATTAAAAAAACCTTTGAGTGAAATTTACAAAACTGATAACAAAAATCTGAGGGAAAAACGAGAATTTAAAATAAATGAGGTTATATAAATCTTAATTTGGTAACAGGTAACACATTACCTTAAATCCGTCCAGTCTCATTGGTCGTTTTAATGGCACCATGCACTCATAACTCCCTTCACCAAGAGTGCGCAAAGGTGTTGTTCTAACTCCCCCGCTTTTCACAGAGCAAGTCGTGTATTCCTTCCACTCAGTGCTCAATGAAAAGGCAATATCAGTGACCTGCTTAATTAGCTGATTGGCTGTCTGAAATGGCAAAACAATATCTGAAATATTCATCTAGATTGTTGTTTATAATACTGTACGTTTGTAACGTCGCTTTTCATTGGATAATCGTGTCTTTTATTATAATTCTTTTTATAATACTGCACGTTTGTAACGTCGCTTTTCATTGGATAATCGTGACGTTTATATAGTTTTATATATACGGCTGCTGTCAATGTATGAAAAAAAATCATTTTGTTCTCTGAAAAAGGAAGTTTGCTGTATAATAAATTCGTTTTAAATATTCCTGACAGGTAATATGGCATATATAAACGGTTGTTTGCAATATATCCCTCGCCAAAGTGCTCGGGTTTAATATGCAAAGAACAGTTTATATATGGTTAAAAACCTTTATAACTAATAATATACGTCATGGAATGATATTCTGTATAAATAATTAATAGTTTTAAGTCATGAGTCATTTCTTTGGACCAATTTTTGACTTCATTTCAATCTCCCAAAGGTATTTTTAAACAAAATTTACTGTATAAATGAGTTTTCATAGATTAAATATAACATTGGTAGCGTCGTAAATGTGCAAACTGGGATATATATTAACGAAAAAAAACGTAAAAACTTTAAACTTAAAACTAGCGAGTTTACCAATACAAGTATATTTAAAAAAAGAAACACCAATGGTTAGTAGAATAATTTTATAATGTCATGTTTATGTGTTGAATGTCCGTATTACTACCTTGCAAGCGTGTTCCTGACGCTTTCGTTGCAGTTTTTGACGGAATACTTTCATGAGACAGTCATTGAAATCTGGTTCCGGGTCTTTCTCGTGCTGACCCATGGTCTGCAGAGAGGTCCATCTTCCTCCGCCTTTCGTTTTGTTCTCCGTTGTCATGGCTATGGATGTATAAGAAATGAATACCGTTACGGTATAGAACATGCAAGAGAGACGAATGAGTGCTTACAAAAGTAAACAACAAACTAAAAATTTTAATACAAAATAAGAGCGTGTAAATACATTTCTTCCGTGTAAGTAATAGGGATGTTAGTCCTATGCGCGAGAAAACAAAAACACATCGGCCTGTTTTCATAGCAACCATAGAGTAGCATCGTTCAAATTTCTTTCATGTCAGCTTTCGATTTGGAGTAGATCTAATGAATCAATAAGACTTCCAAGGCTATTTTAGCACATAATTATGAACAATCTCGAGGACGTTTATTACGACAAGTTCGTTGTATAGCTATTAACATCTTTCAAAACTCAAAATAACTCTTTTTTTTAATCATATGTTGGCGTTGATAAACAAGCACAACTTCCAAGACATCCACTACATAACACATTTCATAAAACATAAAATACAATTTCTTAAACACCTACAATTAAGTTAAGTCAATCCAAGTTTCAGAATGTTTTCTAGAAATCACATATAATCTGTATAATTCTTTTGGATTCGGAAAAATACGTTACTTTCCGAACTATTTATATATATTTTTTCGGAAAACACATCTTAAAATTTGACAAGAATTTTGTTGCAACTTTTTATATAAACGCTTGGAAATAACCCGATTTTAATGCTTCTGATCTAAAACCAAACAAATGATCATGTAGTTGCTTTATTGGTCTTACAAAGAGCGGGTAGCGACGAAATATAACCCGACTTTGCACGGTTTTATGGTGTATAATAGTTTCAATTGTTTGAAGATTATTCGTCTAGACATTTGCTTTCTAACTGACCGCTGATATTGTTATTTATGTGTCAGCCACAACCTCAGTCCAAGAATAATAGTATCGAGCATTTCATTGGTGGCAACAACGTTTCTTTGGAAACCGTACTTGTTAGTCGGGAACCGTCACTGCTGTATAGAGAGAAAAATTCTAAACGCTTACGTGACGATAGATTCTTTTTCCAATCGCAATAGCCGAGGCAGTTCCGAATGATTATTTTTCTTTACAGCAATCGGAACATCGTCGGCTATTCTCTATAACAAGTTTGCTTCTTTAAAAAGAAGCATGCGAGAGGTCTTTTTGCTGCTGTAGAAGATTTGTTTAATTTGAAAATATTTGGAAAAAAAGACACAATGAATGGTTATAAATTACAATTATTTAACAAAATAGAATTTATTATATAAATTGAATATATAGTATCATAATGAAAGTTTGTTTTACACTTCATTTTTTAATGTTTTGAAAGATTATATGCCGGAGAAATTGACTATTTCTTGGCGCATTAGGGATACTTTTTCTACAAAGGGAACTTAATTAAAATAAATGATATGTATATTAAAAAGTAGTATCAAATTTTCTTGTAAAATTCAATAAGAAAATTTTCGCTTAATGTTTTGGCAAGTATATGGAAATATTTTCCTCTACATTTTCCAAAACGGGCATAAAGTATGTTAATCAGACAATTTTAAAGTCCAGGATTTACATAAAAAATGTTTATATCATTTGATTGGAATAAAACAGAATATAAAGCTGTATGCCTCCAACCACTATATTTTAAGAAAATCAAACTTGTGTCAAATTTGCGCCTAAAAATCCCCGTTACGTTTACTTAGTCATACCGGTTTAAAAGTTTAAGGAGCAGCAAAATTTCGGTACATGGTTCACTCGGTCATATAATAGTGTAGCTATAATGTTCACTGTACTTTTTATTGTCACTGTTACTATTTATCGGAACATGAAATAGTAAAAACGCTATTCAGAAAACAATACTGTAATCGATTTATACAGTTTAAAAGATTAGAACGAAATGAAACATCCACGTAGCGCATAGTAACGTAAATGATATTTTCCGATTATTTTCTATGTACCGATTCGTTCACTTCGATGTTAATTTTTCGTTTAAGTTAAGTCGTATTTTGAAACGGAGCATGCGCAAAACAAATTTTGTAGACTGCTCCTAATGGTTTTTAGCTGTAAATGAGATTCGTTCACTACAATCAGATACGCAAAAATGGATGCCGCCAGCAATCAGTCTGAACACTGTGGAGAGGTCTGAAGTTGCGATTATGACTAACATTGCATACATAAAACATAGAAAAACTATAGTAAAACCCTAAACGTAATAATGTTAAAATTTACGATTGTTTATTTTTATTGATGTCTGAATGACCTGATAAGTAGCTGAAGTAGAATAATTTATTTTCTTTTGACAAAAATCTAACATAAACTAAGCTATTATAAGTAGTTGTATAAACTTTCGAATTTAATTTACTAGAATGCTTTATTACACTTAATCTATAATTTTAAAACAATTTTCCTACAAAATTGGCCAACATTGCAATGTTAATAAATATCTTTGTGGATTTTTCATTTTATCTAAAATCTTAAAATGAAGTTCTTATTTATTTGTCTCCGTATTTCACGAATAATTTAGATTTTGTTAAAATTGTCTCTTTTAGAACGTTACGCTTAATGCGGCATGCCTTATAGATTCATGTTAATCTACATGCAAACTTTGAAAATGTATATTAATGTAGAAAGTAATTTTCAAACTTTGAAAAAGTATGTTAATGTAGAAAGTAATTTACGCATTGTAAACGGCACTTACAATCCACGTAAATTACCAAAACGAGGTCAAAATATGCAAAAATAGCACTTAATGCGTTAGTCACGCAGTAGAAATATGGTAACAGTCAGTAGTCGCGTATAACATATAAATTATATTGAATCTTGAATATTTTTTACATTAAAATCTTAGTACACTTTTCTCAAATTTGATTTTCTTGAAATATTTGGGGGCTCATCTGGAAGCATGCGGCATTAATGGAAATATAAGATCATAACAATAATATATTTTGTAAATTGAATCCCCATTATCAAATGTCGAATGTATTATATAACCAGATTTAAGTAACTTAAAACTTAATTATGAGAATAGCATTATCACAAAAAACCATGGTGGCTGATTTGGAACGTTTGTTTTTTCTTTCTTTTTCCGCACGCGACGTAATTAAACAACAGCAATTTAAGATGGCTAATCTACGCACCGATGCGTGCCGCAGAACGAAATGACATTAATAAAATGTTTGTGAAACCACAAAATGATTTAAAAAAAAGGATGATACTGTTTCGTTCCGTTGCGCAATACGAAACTTTGAAAATATTAAAACGAAAATTCTGAAATACAAAACCAGTACTTCTGTCGATGTGGAAATACAAACATAAAGTCACAAACCAAAAAAAAGCACCCATCCACTCGATCCTCGTCCCAGATAAAAGATAATTAGAACAAATAAACAAAAATTACCTTAATCGAATAAGATCCGATAGAATTTGATATTTTATCTAATTTCTGCTCATTATTGACTTGATTTTCGATTGTTAATCAAGCAGACTGACTTGATCGATTGGTCTCGATTCAACCGAAATTCCACCGGTCAACAAACATGTCGGCTGTAAGGAGCTTATACCGTTTGAATAAAAACTAATCCTAGGGGATTATCGCGAAATTTATACACTTATGTTTTATCAAGACTTTAAAGTAGATAGATTAATCCGTACCCACTTTTAATATTAGTCTCACTTAAAATGATCTATTAACATGAAGATCAGAAAACATTGACAAAATAATTTGTTTTGTTCTTTTTTCGTTACATACGAGTATATAGATAGATAATCATGCAATTTATTTTATACATTTATACATTTCAGTTACTGAACGCGGTGTTAAGCTAAACAGCTGTCGAAATGCACTGTCGGGATTTCTAAATCAAAGCAATAACTCTATTGTCATTCCGTATGATCATTTCTACAAAAAAAACCACAATATTCTAATATGTTACTTATGTGACTTATATTTTGGGAAAACAGAAACAACAGCAAAAAAATAGATAGATAAATTTTAAAAAAAAATCCTCTGTTATAAGGCGACTATCGTGCGCATAACCAACTCACTTTCACACACATTCGCCTTTCAATGTAGGTCTTTGGTAGAATTACAAAAAGTAATTGTGACAGTCAAGGTCGTTGTCACAGTCAAGGTCATCGTCAAGGTATTGTCACCGTCAAGGTCACTGTCACCGCCAAGGTCACTGTCACCGTCAAGGTCATTGTCACCGTCATGGTAACTGTCAACGTCACTTCAATGTGATCGTCAAAGTCAAGATCACTGTTACCATCAAGGTCATTAAAACTGTCAAGGTCATTGACACAATGAGGGTCATCGTTACCGTGGTGATATTTGTTAATGCCAAGGTTATCATCACCTTCAAGGTCATTGTCATATTAAAGGTCATTGTCACCGTCAAGTACATTGTCACCGCCAAAGTCAGTATCTATACCATCGTCAAGGTCAAGGTTACTGTCAATCTCACCCTAAACGTTATCGTCGACCTCACAGGCATTGTCTCCGTCAGTATGTCTGTCTCGGTTATTATGTCTAATTTTAGAAATCTTACTAACTAAATGTGAATGTCACTGATTAAGCCTATATTGTTGTTGTGTTATTGCTGTTGTCGATCTTTTGGTTGTTATTTGACCTACTGTCTTGCAGATAGAGAGGTGCTTTGTTAAAATGTCACCTTACAAAATCAGTTTTCACTAGTCATTACAATGTGGTAAAACAAAAGACACATTTGGGCTGTGAATATTTTTATTGTGTTGATTTTTTTAAGTGACGCCAACACGATGACTTTCCAGCTTAACGTATTGAGGAAGACCACAGTTCCTCTCCCGGCACGAGCGAGCACCTGCATATTAAAACCATCGACCTTCTGTAAGCTAGCTGGATAGCTACCTCATATGAACGAATCCAATGAGTTTAAAGTCCCTGACATGATTCGAACCCAAAACGGTGAGGGGCAAGTGATTTGAAACCTTTCAACCACGAAGTCTCCAAACCATTTATGTAAGAATGTACCACAAAACGACACAAATAAACCTAATGGCTATAACGTGTACATTGATTTGATTTATGATAATGAAAAATGAAACTCAGAATTAAGCCATGCGTGGATTTTATGGGGTTTGTTTTACATTCACTAAAATATATAAATATGACATAAAATGTGTTGAATATTAAACTTAGAGGATAAAACAAGACAAGTAACTAGGATACGGTGTGTGAAGGTAAGTAAAATATGTAATCATATGATAAACCAAAAAGGGTTAACAATCATCGTTAAGATATAACAATGAAATATATCATTTGTACTGAATTTACTTTATACTTTATTGTGAACAATTGTTACGCGTAGCCTGTTACATTGCAGGACTAAAACACAACTGCAACGCCTTTTTTGTAATAGTTTGTTTGTTTGGGTTTTACGTCACACCGACACAGTACGACTCAATAAAACATGTTTGTAACGGCGATTTTTATTGGATAATCATAACGTTTGCACTGTCTATATAACACTGCATGTTTGTGACGCCGATAATCATTGTTTATACTATCGGTATAACATTGCTTTTTGTTATGTCGATTTTCATTTGATTTTTATGACGTTTATACTATTAGTCATAAAGATTGTTGACAGGTTATATGGCCCTATATAAACGGCTATTTGTAAATATAACCCGAGCCGCTAGTCGAGGGTTATATTACAAGAAGCCATTTATATACGGTCATATAACCTGCCAACAATCTTTATAACGAATTTATAATACAGCAAGCATCATTTCTTAAAGAAAAAAGTAAGATTTCTTCATGAGTCGACAGCAGCCGTGTATATAAAACTATATAGTGATTAATACTATCACTATTAATGTTTTTACGCCAAATTTTAATGGCCAATTTGAAACCACTCACTAATTCTGCATATTTGTTACATAGAATTTTATTTAACAATCATGACGTTTATGTTATTAATATACAAGGCAACTTCTACTTAAGATTCTTAATTTGCAAGCGACTCGTGTGGCGCCGTTATAATGTCGCAACGACACCAATTACACTTGCCGCTAAATGTCGTGCTATTGTCGCTAAATGTCGCAACCGCCACTAAATGTCAAAAAAATATTTTGCCGTTAAATGTCGAAATGATAACGTTAAATGTCACAGCTATCGCATGAATAACTTTTCCATATTGAGAAAATATAACAAATGAAAGTTTAAAGGCATATGCTAAAGTTACATAGACATAAAGGCAGATTGAAAACTGTATGAAGGAATTTGTTTAAACATTAAATAGTCAACACTGCACCTTTACACTCTGCAACCACAATGAATTAACCAGTATAGATATACATGTAAGCCAAGTGGCACATCCTTGCAAACTGATCCGGCTCTGGCGTATGGCCGACTAACTTCAGAAATTTTTACCTTGATGTTCCCAGAAAGAGAGTTCTAAAAAGTGAAAGCTTGAAAGTGCATTTTACAAATTCAGCAGTGCAAGTTCAGCCTAACCAGTGTCAGAATTGTCGGTTGCTCAAGTTTAATGTTGTTGTTTTTTTTTTACTTGCAGCCACATTACATGTAGGATAACGCGAATATAAAAATAAAAATGTACGTTGCCAAAAATGCCCCAAGGTTAATATTTGCAAACATAGTGTGAAATATGTGTGTATCTCCCATATTTAATGCATATAAAACGTTTCTGAAACGCTCGTGTTTTGCAAAAACTAAATAATTCTGTAACATACATAGAATGAAAAGAAAAAAAACTCTATAAACTCAAAATTTTCAAAGACGTTATATATGCTCTTTTTAAAATTTCACAGAACCATTAAAAGACGAAAACTGATACACCGCTTGGTTTGCATTACTATTGATTTATGTTAATCAATTCAAGACATATATGTTAAAAGTATCCACCTTATCAATGATGCGTTGATAATTAAAGCAATTTATTTATAAGATGAGTTTTATATGCACCTATCACGAAGCGTGATTGCATACTATATTTTATTTATATAATGGTTTTTACATTTCGTTTACAAACGAAAATGAGATTTATAGTGAATTGGTCTATGATGTAAAGTATGCAATGCAATCAATATATTTTTATATTGATAGTATGATGTGTGACAACAAACCATGAAACATGAAATAATTATGTGTGGATGTTGATAATAAAATGTTCTAGAATAAAATATTAGTCATTCATCATATAAATATCATATTAAACCACGTAGAACAAGATAAACAATTTTGTTTGAAATATTTTGAAAGAATATCCAAATGATACGTTTCTATTGTTTTTTGTCAATATATGAAATATTTCTTGAAAATGGGCCCAGTGTAGACCAATCCAATTAAAAAGAATTTCATCTTGTGCTCTGCAGATGGATTGGAACATTGCTGAATGTCACAAAGTTATTTTATATACAAACTTTTACTCAATGTTTATTGTAATTTAGTACCACTAGCTAACTTAATCTTATCATGAATATACAACTTGCAACACTAAGCAGTTGTGTTGCGACATTTAAGGGCAAGGGGAAATCGTGTGACTGTTATTGTTAACAGTGTGATGTTTAACGGCAGAAGATTTTGCGACATTTAGCGGCAAGTGCGACATCTAGCGGAATGGTGCGACATTTAGCGGCAATTGCGACATTTAGCGGCGTTGCGACATATAACGGTTGTAAGTATTTTAGAACCGTAAACAAACTTTCGTAATTAAAGCATATACAAATACTTTGTATACATGTATATTATTTTATATTTAGTTATTATTCCATCAGTTTTTATACTGTAAATCCTTAAATCAGTAATGAGCAATTATTAATTCCAATCGTATTCATTCAGCGAATGTTAGGTGGTTTATTTGTTTGTTCATTATTAGAATGACTTCATACAATTCTAATATACATATACAGGTAAAAATTTATTTTAAAATACTAGTAGTTTGAATGAATACATTTCACATGTTCAACGAATCGAATCTGTTTATCACTTAATTTCAGCAATAGTTCACGTACCAAATTAGACTTGAATATCATTTATGTTTTTATTTATAGTTGTTGTTTTTTTCGACCGACAATAAATTGCCTTTTAGGGAAATCTGTCCTTGATGAAGCTTTATGAAAAGCTTACTTTACTTCTTTTACTACATGGCGTTTCCAAGAGGTACTCTCATATACATATGTATATTATTACTTATGAAGATTCTTGACATGCTATAATTGGATAATCCTGACGTTTATATAATATATATAACACGGCTGCTGCCGACTTATGAAGTAACTCTAAATATGAAAGCTTGGCTTATATATACAAATAACCGTTTATATAAGCAAAGATCTGTATAACTTAAAATATAAACGGTTGTTTGCATATATAACAAGAGTTTATATTGCAAAGAATCCTGTATATACGGTCATAAAACCAGCCTAGAACCTATAACGAATTTATAATACTGCAAACTTTCTTTATTTGAGAAAAAATCTTCATAAATTGACAGCAGCCGTGTATATAGTTTATTATCCAATGAAAAGCGACGTTACAAACATTCATAATAAAAGAGATTCTAACACGCTTCACATCATTCCTCTATCAAACAATCATTATTGTACGATATTAAATTGAATTAAATTAAATTGTTTGTTCAAGCGACTAAAATGAGGACGATATTGGAAATATTTTATCGAAATTTGAGTAGTTTAGATCAATATTTTGAATGTGACATTTCAGATCATTCTGTCACCCCGCTTCATTTTTTTAATTAAAGAAAATGTATTTTGGTTTTACTTATAGACGTCAGTTACGTCCCATACAACAAATGAAACAATTTGAAGTTATTTTTTTATTCTTTTCTCCCTTTTTTGGGCAACTACAGCAAATAATTTACAAAAGTGTAGGAAGATTAATGTTTAAGACACAAATTCATTTGGTCTAATCAGGTGTTTCTTTAATTATGGTGTTCTAGCAGTATATTTGATATGATATTGAAAATTTGCAAAAATACGGCGAAATGGTTGAGAGCAAACCAAAACTTTGAGCCGTTTACATAGTGATATGCTTAGAAAGATAAAGAACAGTCTATGAACGGTGGCCGGTGCTCAGGAGAGTGACGTGTTGATTGTTATTTACCCTTGCGCATCTCTTAATGCCTATTTTTAAAAAATAATCATTAAACACCTTACATTCTTTTGATTAAATGGACAATGGAAACAAAAAAAAACAGAATTCGTTATGAACTTGTTTATAAATACATTTTTTTTCTACATTCACAGATTTAAATATAAATTCAGCAAACAGCCATGGCAAGGCAAGTGGTGTTTTGTTTTCTCCTTATTACCTCCATTTCTTCAATTTCTGCAGTACAAACTCACACTGTCGAAACCAGTATTGGTACTATAAACGGAATGGTCGACGATGTATACGACGGATCATCTGGAACAACGGTTAAGCTTCGTAAATATTTCGGCATTCCGTTTGCAGAACCACCAGTTGGAAAACGTAGATTCAAGAAGCCAGACCCGAAGACACCGCTGACCGAGCCCCTAAATGCTTTTAACCATAGCAAAGCTTGTTCTCAAGTAACTGTTTACAAGCTGGGTGATGTACCGACAGACGAGGACTGTTTGTATTTGAACATCTACGCTCCAGAAACCATTCAGGACGAAAAACTTGCAGTAATGGTATGGATTTATGGGGGAAGTTTGATGCACGGATTTTCCGATATGTACGTTGCTGACAATTTAGCTGTTTATGGCAATGTCATTGTAGTCACTTTCAACTATAGGATGTCTGTTTGGGGATTTCTATCGACCGGTGACGAAAACGCACCGGGAAATTATGGTCTTTGGGATCAACATATGGCGATTAAATGGGTACATGACAATATAGCTAAGTTTGGCGGAGATACAAATAGAGTTACAGTGTTTGGAGAGTCGGCTGGTTCGACAAGTGTAATATTTCAGAGTCTTTACCCAGGTAACAAAGCACTGTTCCAACGTGCCATAGCTCAAAGTGGAAGTATCGGAGCTTTTTGGAGCATCAATGAAAACATAACTCAGAATGCGAGACACCTGGGTACACTTGCCGAATGTGAAACATCAGATAACAAAGCGTTAGTTGATTGTTTGAGAGATGTTCCTAATCACAAACTAGAGGAATTTGTGTCAGACTTCTCGTATGGACTCTTAACCTTTCCTTCTCCTTTCACTCCTGTAACCGATAGACTTTTTATAAACTACGATCAGAAACATGCACTCGATCTGGGAAACGAGTTACCTGTTGCCACAAAAGAAATGTTTTCGTCCATAGATTTGATGACTGGGGTAAATTCAAGGGAAGGAAGTTTGTTTGTGATTCCTTTGTTTGGAGTTATTGACCCTGAAAATTTTCTTCCAAATAGGACATTCTTCGAGGAATATTTAATCAGCATATTTCTAGAAACTGTTTACGGTGGACTTGAACCGCAATCTGCACGAGCATTTATAATTGCTGAATACACAAACTGGAAAGACCCAGATAATAAACACAACACTAGGGAAGAGTTTGTGTCACTTTGGGGAGATAGCGTCTTTGGTGGAGGACTATACCGAACGCTTAATAAACACGAAACATTAGCGTCTAACCGGAATAAAACATATATGTATTTCTTTGACGTGGAACCAGATTTTACAGGTGGCTACGTTCCAATGACGTGGTTTAAGAAACTGGGTCACGGTGAGGATATACCATTCTTGTTTGGGTTTCTCAATTCTGACGTCATAAAGGATGAGTTAAAAGTTACTCCCTCGGTCTGGGAACAGGAGATGTCTCGAGATATAATCCGGCTGTGGTCAAATTTTGCGAAAACTGGGTATGCCTTAGCTCCTTTTTAGCTCACTTATGTCCATCCGGCGTCGGCATTTGTCTTGATGGAATCTTCATCAAATTTTGACAGTATAATTATATAAGTAGTCCCTCGGATAAGTTTGAATATGGGTCATCTTGGGTAAAAAAAACTAGGTAACCAGGTTAAGTAAAAGAACCTTGTTGACATTCTAGAAGTCACATTTTCATTTGATTCATTACACTTTGTCAGAATGATTATGTCAATGATATTTGGATGGGTTCCAAAAATGAGTTATCATGGGTCAAAATCAAGGTAACTTTGTTAAATCAAAAAACAACATTATTAACAGTCACGAAATCACTTTTTTATTTTATCTTCATTTTCTTTTATCAGAGTGATTATCTCAATAATATCTCGTATGAGTTTGACGATTGGCCATCTTAGGTCATTATACTCCACTCAAATTCTTTAGTGATTTTATTTTCTTTCAGAAACCCTAATTCACCATCTGACTTGGGACTTAACTGGACACCGTATACAAAGACGAATAAAAGTTATCTACAGATGTCACGGAACATGACGTCAGCAAACGTCAAACGACGTTGGAATCAGCGAAGAATGACGTTTTGGACGTCACTTGTACCGGAACTTATAGACAGACTCTGCCTTACATCCGTTTCAAGTTCTTGCCATTCTGCGAGTTTTGTTATTATTATAAACCTTATATTTTATCTTCATTTTCACTCAATATGATACGTTGTCAAAATTACTGTTAAATAAATATTTTTATATCACACTAACCAGTAAAATACTAGTACTTTGTTTGTTTCTATGCTTTTGAGTGGATTACTGATTAATCCATGAAAATTTATATTTATAAAATCACAGTGAAAATTATAAGAATGCAATTTCACACTTTATATTGACGAGAATACATTTTAAAGATTTTCCCCCATGTGGTTTGTCAAGTTTGTTTTTGCTTACAATTCTGACATTGTCAGGGCTGTTAAGAGAAAAACACAGCTAAAATTGGGAAATAACTTAAATTTCAAAGTAATAAAACGAAAAATCTTGCTTCAAATTATTCAAATTACCAAGCAGCAAACATCCAACTATGTTTCCAAATAAATTTTTGTTTCATTTTTACAGTCTGAAAAAACGCACCCTTCCACAAGCAAAAACTGTTCTGTCAATCCAACTGATTGCCAAGCCCGTCCTACAAATAGCAAGAGATAAATAACCAACATATCTTTATGTAAACGATTTCATAACTTTTTCATCCAAATACAAAGGTCTAGAGCTTTTTATCTGATCTTTTATACAATAAACACATCTTAAAACAAATGCCATTAAGATCCTTGTCTTTATATTAAGAAATAGTACCTAAAATGAAAAAGTTTAAAAGCTCACATACAAATCATTTTTGAATACACATCCACTGTTTGGTTGCCTTATATAAACTAGACATCCATCAGATGACAAAGGTCCATATGGCACTTATTTGAGTTTCGCAGATTGACTGTTCTATTATATATACCATAGCTAAGAAACAATTATATAACAAAACTTATAAGGTTATTCAGAAACATGCAATATCAAAGCTTTAGACAAGTCCAAGTAAGAACTGACAACTACAAATATTCATATTTCCCCCACACTGTATACGGAACTTATTTGTTTAAGGTTATGACCTGCAACGATAGAACCCAGGACTAAAAAATATGCCTTTCTTTAGTCATTTTTATAATGAATAATAACCATATTCAATATACCAGGCAAATATTTTCCGATTCATAATAACACATAACTTTCCAATTTTGGCTCGTGTACTTATCACATTATGATTGCACGAACTTTACAATACGGTGTTAATTTGGTGAAAAGATGTGGAAATGATTGATGCAAGCATAAGTAAACAAGAACAAGGACAACATGGGGAAGTTATGGATTTCTGAAGTGGTAAATCATTTTTCCGGCGCATGATCAAACATTCAACATAATTATCCAAATAATAAAAAAATAGCATTTACATCAGCGGCGCTGCCATTAGTAGTAGAAAGAAGTCACGTGTTTTCCATCCGGCTATATAGCTATGGAATAACATATCATTTAACAAATTCATCCTGTCGTCGCAAACCAGATCACGGAAGGAGTTGTCATGGTACACTTTCACTTTTTAACCCTGTTCATATTTAAGCCTATAATTATATAGGGATTTTCTTAATGTAGGCGATGCTGAAAGTGGCATGTATTGATTTCATAAACCCTTTATACTCAAATCGCTTTTCTGCACCTGGCCATCAACATGAATCTTTAGAATCTAACATTGACTAAGCCTAGTCTTAGTATCCACATTAGCTCATTTAAGCCTGTCTTAGGTTCTTGACATCGAGATAGATAGATGAATGGACTTAAAGATGGATCACAGAAAAATCAAGTAGACGAGTCTGCAATTTTCATGTAATTTTGTTGGGAAGGATCACCCTTTTTCCATTTTTTACTTTCTTTATCTTTAGGGATCTTCATCCCTAAGATCCATCTGTGCATCTCCATTGACTGAAACAGTGAGTTTGCGTATATACGGGAAATAGAAAGTTTAATTTTGTTGTTTAACATTTGTTTTAATACTAAAATCCTCTGAAGTTGGAAAATAAACTTGTAAGACATGAAAGAAAATTAATTGTAAAATATCGAGATGAATAAAATGCATCATATAAAGCTCAGCTAACTAAACACTCGCACTCTCTAGTTATTGCTTTTTGCTGCAATGGGTAACCAAGTTAGCCTTAACACGTTTGCAATGTAAAAGCTGTCTTAGCATTGATAAAAATGTTCATATATGTACATAAATTGTCGTACTTTTTACACTGTAAATGCTTAACTAACGAATGAAAGTTTAAATTTCAGTAATTTAACGAGGGTAAAATGGGTAAAATGGCTTTTTAACCAGTTCATGTTAAATGTTGAATTCTGCTTGCCGGTGCTAGGGGGCGTGGACGGTAACTTGCACTTTCCAGTACCGTCCATGAACAGGCTCAATCAAACCGAGCCTGCAACATTTTCAATTTTGCCGTGTTGGGCTTTCTTTAGGGATTTTGTATTTATCTATTTTATGATCACATCCGTGTTATTTGTGCCGTGTGGCGGCTGTAAAAAGTCTCCCCGTACATTTAATCAATGATGTTATATTTTCGATCCTTGAAGATCGTTCAGCACGACCTTATTGTTGTGCTTGTGGTATTTTTAGTTTCAACTTTTTGGCACTTTCTAGTTGGGTGGTTCCAATATTCCTACTTGAATAATGTTGAATCACCCTTAGGATATGTTGCCTGCTTTTTAAATTTGTCTTTTGACGTCCTATCTGTGATACGCAGGCTTCATAACCTCAGATCCCCTTTCAAAATTCCATTTTATTTAGTTCCGCCCATTGTTTTCTCGTTTAGGGCACACGCATTTTTTTACTTGGGGACCATATGCCGCTTTTCATGGAATGGCACTACCGTGTCACATTGAAGGTTCCATGATAACCGCCATATGAACACATCTGCGGATGTTTCAAAATTCTAAATTTTACCAGTTCATGTTAAATGTTGAATTCTGCTTGCCGGTGCTAGGGGGCGTGGACGGTAACTTGCACTTTCCAGTACCGTCCATGAACAGGCTCAATCAAACCGAGCCTGCAACATTTTCAATTTTGCCGTGTTGGGCTTTCTTTAGGGATTTTGCATTTATCTATTTTACTCTATCTACCGCTAGGTACATGTATACTATATTTATTTCTATCATAGCTGGGAGACCTTTCCAACTAAATTTCAGAGAATTGTTACAGTAAAAAAACAACATAGTATACCCATTGATGCACTCTGCGCAGATTTAAGTGTATCCTAGTTAACGCATTGTCTGTAGAAATCAAGTAACTGTGTTAATTACTAATATGCATGCGCATGTAGGAATTTATCAAAACATTAGTTCGCATAAACCTATTTCACATGTTTAACCGATCAAATCATGTTATCGCATAATATCAGCAATAAACCAAATGTTATCAAATGTATCTATGTTTAAAATGACTTACAAAAGATTGGCCATTAGGGGAAATATGCATTATCAAGAGGTACATATACATTCGAATTAAACTTACTTTTATCAACGATTTTTTGGTTACAGTTTGTAGATGGTCTTCTAAATTTCCACTGTAATGATTTTTGGATATTCATTCTTCTTGTAAGTTTTACGTTAATAGCATGAACACGCATTCACAATGAACAATACATATATATTATTTTCACAGGTTGAAATGACTATTCAGCAAGGAATAATCAAGTGGCCGATAGTGGTTCGGTTGGTCCTTATTTTCACCATAACTACAGTCTCTGCATTTCAAACTCACACTGTCAAAACAAGTATTGGTATTATAAACGGATTTGTTGAAGATGTATCTTTATCTGAGAAAACAGACTTTTTGTTACCTGATGGCCCATCTGGAACAACGGTTAAACTTCGTAAATACTTCGGCATTCCGTTTGCAGAGCCACCAGTTGGAAATCGAAGATTCAAGAAGCCAGATCCGAAGACACCACTAACCACGCCCCTAAATGCTTTTAACCATAACAAGGCGTGTTTTCAAGTTACTCCTTTAAAGCATGGTAATGCACCGACAGATGAGGATTGTTTGTATTTGAATATCTACGCCCCTGAAACATTGCACAACGAAAAGCTTGCAGTGATGATATGGATATATGGGGGAGCTTTTATGCATGGGTTTTCCGACATGTATGTTGCTGACTTTTTGGCTATTTACGGCAATGTCATTGTAGTCACTTTCAACTATAGGATGTCCGTTTGGGGATTTTTATCGACCGGTGACGAAAATGCGCCGGGAAATTATGGTCTCTGGGATCAACATTTGGCGATTAAATGGATACATGACAATATAGCTAAGTTTGGTGGTGATACAAACCGAGTTACAGTGTTTGGAGAGTCGGCTGGTTCGGCTAGTGTGATATTTCAAAGTCTTTACCCAGGTAACAAAGCACTGTTCCAACGTGCCATAGCCCAAAGTGGAAGTATCGGCGCTTTTTGGAGCGTCAATGAAAATACAACTCAATTGGCTAGACACCTGGGTACACTAGCTGACTGCGAAACAGTAGATAACAAATCGCTGATTGATTGTTTGAGAGATGTTCCAAATCACAAACTAGAGGAATTTGTGTCTGACTTCTCGTATGGACTTGTCACCTTACCCTCTCCATTCACACCTGTAAATGATGGTCTATTTATTAACTACGATCAAAAACACGCCCTTGATATGGAAAATGGGTTACCTGTTGACGCAAAAGAAATGTTTTCCTCCGTAGATTTGATGACAGGAGTGAATTCAGGAGAAGGAAGTATATTTGTGTTACCCTTTTTCGGAGTCAAGGACCGTGAAAATTTTCTGCCAAACAGGACATATTTCGAAGAGTATCTAGTCAGCATATTTTTCAACGCCGTTTACGGTGGAACTGTACCGCAATCTGTACGGGCGTCCATAATTGCGGAATACACAAACTGGAAAGATCCGGATAATAAGTACAACGTAAGGGATGAGTTTCTGTCCCTTTGGGGAGATAGCGTATTTGGTGAAGGACTTTACCGGACGCTGAATAAACACGAAGCATTAGCGTCGAACCAGAAAAAAACATATATGTATTTCTTTGACGAAGAACCAGATTATAGGAGTGGGTACGTTCCAATGACTTGGTTTAAGAAACTAGGTCACGCGGAGGATATACCGTTCTTGTTTGGATTTCTCAGTTCAAACTTAGCCAATGAATATTTTAAAGTAACTCCCTCGGAATGGGAAGAGAAGTTGTCTCGAGATATAATTCGGCTGTGGTCAAACTTTGCTAAAACTGGGTATGCCTTTTTTACTACATATTAGTCGTAGACTGATGTAAACCGTATTACTGATTTTTATCTTAACATAGTTTGTTTATACTTGCATGCGTTTCATAAAAATGTTATTTTTAGTATTGCATCATGTTTGTAATGATGTTTGTAAGTTCCATAATGCTTACTATTTTACATTTTTATTATTTTCAATATTAGGCAATCAATAAGTTCGGTAATTATATTAATAATTCTGTTAAATTGAATTTCAATTTTGATACATACAAGCATTCGCAGATCTAGAAGGAATGGTTAAAGGGGTAAAGACGTCATTATAAGAGCTATTATTGTCATAGAAAGCCTGCTGATTTATTCCTTTGTGCTGCATATGCAAAGGACTATATAGCAGAAATATGTTTTATCTGTTATAATTTAAGATAAATGTTTTAGTAAGTATAGACATGAAAATACTCTAGTTTGAGAAATCAATTTTCTTGTGATTTTTTTCAGAAACCCTAATTCACCTTCTGAGACAGGAATTAACTGGATACCGTATACAAAGACGAATAAGACTTATCTACAAATTACACGTAACATGACGTCAGAAAACGTCAAACGATAATGGAATCAACGAAGAATGACGTTTTGGATGTCTCTTGTACCGGAATTGATGGAAAGGCGTTGTCTTGCATCCATTGCTAGTTCTTGGCATACGCTGCCTTGTTTTGTTATTTTATACACTTTTTTCTTCTCTTTTTCACTCCACGTGATCAGTAAATTACTTTACTGGTAAACAAAATATTCATATTATATTATTTTTATTTATTTTTCAATGAGATACTCAGTGCAATGTAAATCATATCATACTGTATGATAGCAACATCTACCTATTGTGTACGTTAAATATATGTGTTCAAGCTATAGTAAAGTGGAATTCATAAACGTTTTCATGACGCCATAATACCGTCATATGACAACGTCAGTTGGCGCAATTTTGAAAATACCTGACTAATGATCTTTTATATAAAGATATCAAACAAAACTTTCTCTGTATGTTGTTTTTAAATCATCATTTATGCTAATGTTAATTAATAAGGTTAATGTTAAGATAAATAAATATCTTATTTTACATCTACAAGCATCTACAAACTCAAACTTATGTAACAAATGAATGCATTTGTGTTGAACAACCGGAAAAAAACATCGATTATTATGATTTTGCGAGCAAGATTTACAGAATATTTGATATAAGTATTATATTAAAAAAGACGTGCAACCATCGCTGTCCTTGTCAATACAATTTGGACAAATAATGTAAGAACAACTTTCAATTGTGAATTGTTACGAATGTGACATATTGCCTCCTATGCCATCCAGTCTAGGCTTTTCGGCCCTATCCGTCAACCCTTTGATAGTTATTATACGCCCCCCTGCCCAACAAACGAAGTTTTAGGGGGTATACTGGAGTCAGCTGATGGTCGATCGGTTGGTTGGCTGTTCGGTCGGTCGGTCTGTTGCAGATTTCTTGTCCAGGATATAACTCAGAATGTACAAGAGATATCAACTTCATTTTTAGGCAAATAGATATGAAAGAGAAAAAGTGCAGTAACCCTCCCTTTCCCTAATTTTAGAGTTATTGCAATTCATTTTTACATTTTGAACTTTGTCCGGGTCATAACTTGAGAACTATTGAAGGTACCAACATAAAACTTTGAAAGTAGGTCAATCTTACCTAGTAGAAGTGCAGTGGATAAGAACCGTAACCCTGCCGTCTCACATTTTGGAGTTATTGCTCTTCGTTCATTTTTACACTTTTGAAATTTGTTCGGGACATACCTTGCGAACTAAAAAAGGTATCAATTTAAAACTTTGTAGGTAGATAGGTCGTGCTAAGTAGAAGTGCAGTGCATTAGAACTGTAATACCCTTCCTTCTCTAATTTTAGAGTTATTGTCCTTTGTTCACTTTTACACTTTAATTTGTCCGTGACAAAACATGAAATCTATATAGGGTATCACTTTGGAGCTTTGTAGGTAGATATATCTGAATGATTAGAAGTGCAGTGCAATAAAACCATAAGCCTCTTTTCCCATATTTAGATCTCTCTGAGTAGAAGTGCAGAAGAACTGTAACCTGTAACCCCCCCCCCCTTTCCCTAATTTTGAAGTTGTTGCCCTTTGTTCATTTTAACACATTGAACTTTGTCATTGACAAAACTTGAAAACTGTGAAAGGTATCAAAATGAAACTTTATAGGTAGATAGATCTCATCAAGTAGAAGTACAGACATCTCAAGGAGAAAGGACGATGGCCCTTAAAAGAAGTCATTTAAACTCCAAATCCAAACTTTATTTTATCTTAGTTATGAAGGACAAATAATTCAAAAAATATTTTAAAAAAAATACTCCATTCTCCCTTTGTGCAAAACTATAAACTAAAAAGCATGTTTTCTGACAAGTGCGTGTCGGGGATATTCGACGCTTGTGAATTCGACGAGGTATTCAGCTTGAAAATCATAAAAAGCGGGACATACGACAGGTCAGTATATAGTACGTTTTGATATCGCAATGTTTGCATTTGTTACTGTGGCAGATTAAATAGCGTAAAATTTTTTTATTTATCTATCGGCGGTGATTTAAGTTTTTAGTTCACGTTTCTCTACTAAGTGGGACATTAAAAGAAGGTAAGCCTTTTTAAAAAGAACATTGCTTACCTTTTTTTAAAAAGAACATTGAAATATACATGCATATATATATAATTTAATGTAGTGTTTGTCGGACGATACTCGTCAAATCTGTGTACATTATATTTGACATGGCAAAAATTTATAAATAGATGACATTGAATGCAGGTAGCTAGTTTCCATAGATAAAATATCGGACGAATTGGATAAAATTATATCTTGAAAACATCTACATTATTATTTTTATTATTAGCTTTTATTTCATAATGAGGTTAATGAGTTTGAACAATGAACCATTATTATTATTCACCTTCCGACCCGTGTATAAACCTGTCAGTTGGGAAAATAGAGCATGTGATTGGCTCATGTTTTCTGGGGTTTACTTATTGTGACGAAGAAAAACGGCATAATGAGAGAAAAGTTATAATCAGATGCTCATTCTTGGTTACCTTTTTCTGGAGTTCATATTGTGACAGCAAGGAGCGTGTTTTTATTTTTGCATATGATACAATAAAGCAAAAGACATCAAAACTCTGAAAAATCTGATTAATACGAACAAATCAGATAGCGTCGAGTTACAATGTTCTTTCTAATACATATCACACACACACAAATCTGGAAACATTTAAGAACAAGACTCAACAAAAAACGAAATATGAAACATCAACACTTAGTTTAACTTATATTTTCATTCAACGAGTTCCATAAATTTAGTAATGAATCTACACGAATATAATAGTCAGTGTATCACATATATATCTAAGATAAGAACTGTTAGAGTAAATATAAAAAAAGTGTTTCCATAAACGCGTGTACAGTTCATGGCTAGTTTATGATTTAACGCGATTTTACGCTATGTTTGTAAAACGCAAATGACGTCACGTCATAATATATGCACGGTCGTGCAATACCGATTTTGAAGTTTTGTCACAAAAGCCGCACTAGTATGTGATAAATGTTTATATCAAATAGATAATAACAGATGATTTTCATGCACATGTACATTATAGTTCATACTCTTCTTGTTAAGTAGAAAGTTATCAAGTCCTTATTTACGTATGTCATCATTTAATCTTTTTTTACTAGAACACGGGGGTGACAAAGTTCACCGACCGTCCTATCTTTGATGCTTTGGGTGTCACAATTTAAAAGATATTTATGATAACGACGGATGAATATTACGGTTTGACTCAAGGTCGGATTTAAATCAATATAAAGTCTTTGTTAAAGGTTTTAAATCTTGCATGATTTATGTTTATAAACTCAAACAAGTACTGCTAGGATTTTGGCTATGTTTATGTAGATTTATTAAGCAAACGAAAACGTCTTTCTTTCATAATTTGTCTTTCAACCACTTTGATTTTTAAAAACAGTTTAAAACTTCTATATTTGTTCATAAATAAATTTAATTGCACTAATTTTTTTGGTAGATGTCTCGTTGTAATCGGATAAATCTGATTAAAATCATTATTGTTTAAAGTTTTTAGGAAAAGACGATTCAACAATGGCGACAAAAGTGTTATTACTCCTGCCAGTAGTGTACGTAGTTTTGTGGGTCGGAGAAACAAAAACGGTGTCGGTATCTACAAAAATTGGGGTCATTAACGGACAAGTAGAAGATGTAACATTTCTTGATAAATCTGCAACAATCCATACGTTTCTTGGAATACCTTTTGCTGAACCACCTATTGGAAATTTGCGATTCAAAAAACCTTTGCCGAAAACGCCGTTAAAAGATCCGTTAAACGCGTTTAAGCACAACAATGCATGTCTTCCTGGAATAAAAGGTTTGCTCGAGAGTAAAAGATTAAAATATGATGAGGACTGTCTGTACTTGAATATTTATGCCCCGGAATTAAATGAAGAGGAAAAGCCATTGGCAGTTATGGTGTGGATATATGGAGGTGGTTTCATTCTAGGCTTTTCTGACATGTATTTAGGACACCACTTGGCAACACATGGCAGAGTTATAGTTGTTACCCTCAACTACAGGTTGTCAGTGTGGGGTTTTCTTTCTACCGGCGATGAGCATGCGCCGGGTAATTACGGGCTATGGGACCAGCATTTGGGGATAAAATGGGTGCATGATAATATTGCTGCTTTTGGAGGGGATCCGAATCGGGTTACAATTTTTGGAGAGTCGGCTGGGTCGGCTAGTGTATTTCATCAAACACTCTATCCTGGAAATAAAGGACTATTTCAAAGAGCAATAGGTCAGAGTGGAAGTGTTGGTAACTTTTGGGGGCTTAATGAAAAGAATAAAGAAAACGCAAACAAGATTGGAAATCTTGCAAATTGTAAAACAGATGGGTCAGAGTCATTGGTTAATTGTTTGCGTCAGGTACCAGTTGAAGAGTTATCAGATTTCGTTTGTAACTTCAAATACGGACTGCTTACATATCCATTCTCGTTCCTACCAACACATGACGGCGACTTTGTTAAAACTGATCCAAAACGTGTGTTTGACAAAGATAATGATATGCCAAGTGAAGTTGCGGATTTCTTTTCGAGCTTGGATGTAATGACTGGCGTCACCTCGGGAGAGGGTAGCATTGGCATTACTCCGTTTGTAACAGGAATCACTGATGCTGAAAACTTTACGACAAACAAAACTTTCTTCGTGGAAACACTTGTTCCTTCAACAATCGGGAAGGTTTTTGGAGAAACCGTGCCCAAAGTTGCAGAACACATCGTCATATCGGAGTACACAAACTGGGAAAATCCTGATGATGAAAATAATATTAGAGAAGAATTCATTTCCATGTTTGGTGATGTTTCATTCACAAAGGATTTGTATGTTACACTTAATGCACATTCAAAACTTTCGACACATCAGCACACGTATATGTATTTATTTGAAATAGTACCCGAGTATTCCGGCTTTCTACAGCCCCCGTCATGGTTTAAGAAATTCATCCACGCCGGAGATCTCCCTTTTGTATTTGGTTTTGTAAATTCTGATCAACTAGAAGATGAATTTCATGCAAAGCCGGTAAAGTGGGAAATACAGTTATCTGCTGACGTCATGACGATATGGTCTAACTTCGCAAAAACTGGGTATGGGTATAAATGTATTATACAAAAAAATTACTTCAAGCGATTCTCTTCAACTTTTATA